ATATATATATATATATATAATATTGGCTTGGAATCTCCAATATCAGTATAAATCTAGGCGTGATATAACAAAGATGACTCTTACGTGCAAAAACGTTTCTGCCCATGCCATGACAGTTTTCCATTTTGACATTTCGCATATCTTATCTAGGTTGCACGCGTTGGAAACTGAGTCATCATCATCAGTGGTGGACGGGTCTGGAGATTCCATTAACAAGGGCAGACTGCCAACCCCCAAACTCAGGACCATGCAGACTGTACAAAGAACACACCATGATCGGACCACTCCAGGTATCTAACCTCCTAGATTTACAGACAGCTGTGGTTTCCTGTGCAGATGGTCCATCTGTTTGTCACCTTGAACCTATACTTTTGGCATCTCACAACAGTTTTACTATGATTGAAAGGTTTGCAGTCAGAACAACTGACTCCAAGCCTCTTGTTTATTAGAAAAAGCTAGCAATCAAAACATGAATTATATATAATTTATAGTATTTATTATTACATGATTTATTTTATTTTAATAATGTTTCTGATTTTTAATAGGAGGAGCTTTGCTGGTCTCTCCTCCGAATATCAAACATTCCTCCAGGAGAGTTAGGAGGAGTGAGCCACCTTTAGGAAAACATCACTCTCCTTACAAACATATCATAGATGGCTCTCCACAGCAGCCACACAGTAAGGTACATGAGTCTTAGGTCAAATGTGCAATATTATGTCACACATTATGTCTTCAGATTTTAAACTCCATTGTATTGCAAAGGCTGAGAGTAGAAGCTTGCCACGTTCCTCGCCAGCCGCTGGCCTGACCACCGTAGATCCACTTCCCATGCGAGAAGGTGCCTGGTCTGATGAGGAGGCGGCAGACTACTCCACCAATCCAAGACAACACAAGCCATCGCAAAAACAACAGACCAGCCACCGTCACAAAGCTGCTGTCCCTCCACCTGTCAACAGGATCCAGGGCACAATGAGAAACCCGGAATTTCAGCATAATGGTACGGTTCCTTTCAGCATCCACCCACATAGATCTGGTTGCAGACATGGGAATTTGATTATGAAAGGCCTAACAGTTGCAGCTTTTATGAATTCACACCGAGCCTGCAGTCGTTTATGCACATTAGAAGCGAACATTTTAGTTGCGCTACAAAAATATCACTTTATTTGATTGAAGATCATCAATCCATACAAGGGAAGAACAGCCGCCACACTATAAGCACGCAATTGAAACGTGACTGAGTCATTTACCAGCAGAAGGAGTAGAGGGAGGTTAGGTTACCGCTAGCAATAGGGGGAGAATAATCTAGGTCAGTCTCCTGTCTTCTTTTTAATGTGTTTTTTTTTTCCACTAACGTCACTGCATTATTTTGATACCACTGTACTTATTCAAGTCCTCATGCTAACTGGTCAGATTTTCATTTATTTCAAATGATTAATTAACTTTTGATTGATTTATACCTACATGCCTCATATTTATGACAATTCAAGAGGATCAACATAATTTGATTATTGCATTTACGCCTCAAAAAGCATTTGAAATTTATTATTCTTCTAATTAATAAAAAAAAAACGATTATACACATCGACGTTTCAATATATACTATTTCTCAAAAGTATTTTTTAAAGAAATTAATATTTTTATTCATCAAGGATGGATTAAACTTGTCTGAAGTGATATTAAAAAGATTTATAATTTTTCAAGATTCTACTTATTTACAAAAGATTCTTTCAAATAAATGCTGCTCTTTTGAACTTCAAAGAATCATGAAAATGTATCAATATGTTTCAAGGTTTCCATAAAAATAAATAAATAAATAAATAACATTAAGCAGTGCATTTTCATCTGTGATAATATATAATAAATGTATTATATGTATATAATACATTAATTATAAATGTTAAAAAATTAAATTATAATTCAGAATGATTTCTGAAGGATCTTGTGACTGGAGTAATAACTGTTGATTCAGCTTTACCATCAAAGAAATAAATTACACTGGAAAAAAAGAAAACAGAAAACACTTATTTTAAATTGTAATAATATTTTACAATATTAATGTTTTTATTGAATTGTTGATCAAATAAATGTAGCCTTGGAGAACATAAGAGAGCATATATATTTCCCTGCCAGTATTATTTGAGTATTATTCAGTAATACATATACAGCATTAAAGGTAACCTGGTGACAGTATAAACATTGTAAAAAGTGAAAATGCAGTTATTTGAATTACATAATCTGATCCGTAACGACTGATGACTTACATAACCAGTTAATTTAAATATTACGTGACAAAACGTACACTGTATAAAGTGGAGATTACGTGATTTAGTTTCATGTAATTCACTCACTACACAATCACATGATCTGCTTTGTGTCAATTGTAGGTAACCTGGGAATTTTTCGGCCAGAGCTGTTTGTGTTTCCTGAAGCTGAATCTTCCTGTGTGTCAGATAATGGTAAAATCACCTTCTTAATATTAGCAGCCATAAGCAGTTAGTGACAGTTACTTCACGCTTTTATGTCTGTCTAGCAGTTTTGGTAGGAACAGGAATTAGATCAACGTGTCCTTTGATGTGGTGCGCATATCAAGCACAGCTAATGCTTTTCAAATCACTGGTTTCATTGATTGTATGTCTGCACTGTTTGTGCATTTATGGAACAGCAGTATCTTAAAATATCTAAAATATTAACACATATTAATCTCTCTTTCATATTAAATCCAGATGATAAGATGTCTCAGATCTCATCTAGATCAGCAGCCTCATGCTCCATGGCCTCTGAACTCTTGGGTCGTGCTCGGAGAAGAAAGGAGGAATTCTGGGGAAAGAGCTAATGTGTCAAAGCCCATTAATCGGTTGTGCATAGACTGAGCAAAATAA